TGGGCATGGGAGCAGGGTGCAAACGGCTCCATTTCTGTGGACACTGAACTGGGATACCGCCCGCATCCCGGATCTGAGGGCTTTGGAATTGAGACCCGGGGCACGGAATTCGGGGCATGGGATCCCCATGACGCGTGGCACTGGAAAGAGACAGCACCCCACACTGTTGAGCCATTTCACACCACCCCCACTCAGTTCCCCAGAGATCCACTGGGAAAAAGCACAGCTCTGGAAGGATACTAGGAAAATCTCTGGTGCTACCTAGCAATCAGAACAAAATCACCAACTTCCTAATAGTTGGAAGCCAGGGTTTCCAAAACTACCCTCAGGCTCTGAGAGAGGGTGGGCCACCCAAACTGGGGTAAGAAGGGAAGGAAGGAGTGGAGCAAGACCCCATTCTGGAACTGAGAGCTAGGCACAGGATTTGGGGTGTGGGATGAGCCATAACAGTGGGCTCTGCACAGGGTGACAGCCATCGTTTTGGATCTGAGACCCTGAGATTGAGAACTAGACAACAAAATTCAGGGCATGGGATCCACACAGCCACAGGCATGGCACTGGGTGAACAAGGGGCAGACACAGCACCCAGCGTGAGCAATAGCCCCTGTGTGGAGGTGCTACCGCCCCCCTGCCAGTTTCTGAGAGAACTACAGGGGAAAAGCACAGGTCAGCAAGTACGGGTCTCTAGCACCACCTAGTGACCAGAGCAAAATCTCCAATGAACTGATTCTCTGCTGGAACTGGGTAAATATGGAGGGAGGGAACTGTAAGAGACAGTGCCCAGCAACACAGCCACAGCATCAACACCCTGGTGGAGTTTTGGCCTACAAATTCTGCTCTCAGTCTGGAAAACAGTTTTTGATACCCCTGAAGGCTCAATCCAAGGAGATGCCTGGCAACATCAGTGGCACAAATAGAATACTGGTGAAATTCGTACGGAACCACAAATAACCATGAATAATCAAAGCCCTACTGATGAAAACAAAGGAGAAAAGTGGTATCACACTTCCAAACTTCAAGCTATACCACAAAGCCATAATAATTAAAACAGCTTGGTATTGGAACAAAAACAGACATACAGACCAATGGAACCAAATAGAGAGCCCAGAAATAAAACTGCACTTACATGGACAACTGATCTTTGACAAAGAAGCAAAGAATATGCAATGGTACAAGGACAGTTTGTTCAATAAATGGTGCTGGGAAAATTGGACTATCACTTGCAAAAAAAATGAAACTAGACCACTACCTTTCACCGTGCACAAAAATCAACTCAAAATGGATAAAATAACTGGACATAAGACCTGAAACCATAAAATATGTAGAAGAAAATATAGGTAAAACATTACAAGGCATACATTGCAACAACATCTTTAAAGACTCATCACCCAAAGCAAAGAAAGTCAAGGAAAAGATAAACATGTGGGATTACATTTAATTGAAAAGCTTCTGCACAGCAAAAGAGACATTGACCAAAACAGAGAGACACCCCACTACTTGGGAAACAATCTTTCCACCCCAGTCAACTGATAAGGTACTGATCACAAATATATACAAAGAACTCACAAGGCTCAAAAAAAAATAAACAATCAAATCAAGAAATGGGCAGAACTTAAAAGACATTTCTCCAAAGAGGAAATGTCTGGAGGTTCCTCAGTCTACTAAAAATGGAGCTACTATCTGACCCAGCAATTCCACTTCTAGGGATCTACCCAAAACACACAAAAGCATTGATTCAAAAGAATACCTGTACTCCTATGTTTATTGCAGCACTATTTACAACGGGTAAAACCTGGAAATAACCCAAATGCCCCAAAATAGATGACTGGATCAAGAAGATGTGGCATATATACACAATGGAATATCATTCAGCAATCAAAAAAGATAAAGTCATGCCATTCACAGCAATGTGGATGGAACCAGAAGGAATTATGCTCAGTGAAATAAGCCAGAAGGAAAAAGAAAAATATCAGATGGTTTTACTTATAGCAGGAATATAGGGGAACCCAATAAGACATCACTATAAAAAAAATGGTAACAGGGCCTCGCCAGTGGCGCTGGTTGAGTGCTGGGCTGCGAAGCTGTCTGCAGATTCTGCAGTGCTGGTTTGACCCCAGGCCAGCTGGTGAGGCTCCCACATGACCTCTCCTGCTGCTCCCGCTGCTCCCCTCAGCACTGTACTTCGGTGCTTCTGCCTGCTCTGCTCCCCGCTCTGGCTCTGGTGGATTCTCTCACCCTCCCTCACTTCTGACTATACCGAGTGCTTGAATAAAATAAATAAATAAATCTTCAAAAAAATAATAACAGGACAAAACACAACAAAGCAAAAACAGACAATTATAAATCAGAGACATACTATGGGGGAGGAGGAGGGAGAGGGATCAGAGGGAGGGAGGGAGGAGCACAGGGGACTGAGGTGATGGTGCACAGGGGCATTGGTGAATGAAACTCTATGGGGACGACACCTGAGGGGGTGGGGGAAAGCAAATATTGTTTAAAAATGAACAATGATGTAAAAAATAAAAAAAAATGTAAAAAACAAACAAAAAACCCAAAAGTGAATATAGAATGAGAAAAGAAATTCTAGCAAACTATTTTGAGAACAGAATTTTGAAAGCAGAATCCACCATAAACATCACAAAAATCCAGAAAGTAGTACTTAAATGCTCCATCATATAGCAGAGAGATCTGGAAGTTGAGATTTCATTAGCACGCCAAAAAAATCAGGGTACTGATATGCCAAAATGAGCACTTTTTACTTGGGTTATTAAAAATGTTTAAAAAATGGACCAGCTACACAGCCAGTAGATTACTCTTTCCCATCATCATAAAATGAATCTTAGCCACAACAAAGATTTGTCACCCCACTGCCTGCTATGCCTTCAGCTGGGTTTTTTTTTTGGAGGATTTGTTCCTGTTTAATCCACTTCCATGGCTGGGTTGCATGGTTAAGAGACATGCAAGGGGCTACACTTTGTGGAGTGTTTTCTTGGTTCATAGAAATTTTCTCATTGCTCAAAGTAAAGGGATCCGGAAGAGCCTTGCACACCCCACCTCTGTCACTTCTGCTTGTGAGTTTCACTACCTTGAGGAAGTGACTTCACCTCGTGGAGAGTGACTTTGTTTATACATACAATGGGGACAAGAACAGGACCCACCTGAAGGGCTGATGGGAGAACTAAAGTGAACAAACGCAGAGGGATGTCAGCTTCATTATAGGAGTGAAGAAGCAGAGAGCAGGGGAGGGTGCAGGGGCCATGATAGGAGGCTAGTGTGGGGGCAGGGCTGGAGAGGCGCCCAGAAGACTGCCTGCACCTTCTTTGCTCCTCCAGGCTACAGGGGATGCCGGCCCAGGGACTGGCATCAGCTGCTTCCTGGAGGGAGTCCTATGTGGCAGAGTCAGAGTTTAAAAAGACAAGAAATAAACAGAGTTTCGTGAACTAAATTCAGTTTCGACTTTGGTGTTGCTCAAGCCCTTCAAGCCCTGCTTCTGTGGTTACAGCCCTGACTCGGGAGCCACCAGCTGCAGGACATCTGGCAACAGCTTAGCACAGAGGATGTGCAACACCTGATGGGACCTCCCTCCTGGGCATGGCTCCGGGATCTTGGGCGTGCCCTCGAGAGACTTAGGTGTCCTGAATCCTAATGGCCAGGCCTGGAGTGGCCCCTGCTTGGTCACTCACACCTCTAGCAAAAACAAATCCCTGGGTCCCCCAGAGGCAGCAGGAGCTGGAATGTGTTTCCGTGTGCCCAGGAGGCGTAAGCTGGGCTTGGAGACCACACTGAAGTCAGCCTGGCTCACTGTCACCTACTACTCTTTCTACAGGCCAGGCTCATGCTGGACACTGTGCAGACATTGGCAGCATGATGCGGAGAAGGCTGAGGCTTCGCCAGTCTAAGTAACTTGCTCGGAATCTGAACACTGACATTGGCAGGCCTGGGACTCAAACCCAAGCCTGTTCCAAACCCAAACCTGTGGCCCCATTGATACATGGGACCAGATTACTCCACTTTAGGGGGTCCATCCTGTGCTTTTTGTGTGTTTAGCAATATCCCTGGCAATTCCCCATGAGATGTCAGCCACTCACCCAGCTATGACAAGCAAAAAAGTCTGTAGACACGTCAGATGTCTTTAGGGGCTAACTTCCCCCTTCCTGAGACCACCATTCTCCCACCTGACTGGGGAGGTGGAAGAAGAGTGAGTATCCTCATCACCACAGCGATGGGGTTCCCTTCCTCTGTGGGGTACAGGTCTGACCTGAGCTGGATGGTCCATAAGCCCCATTTTTCTCACTTTTGAATGAAAAGGGCAGAGGCTGCTCGTGAAGTTAGGCTTCTTTCTACAGGCTAAGAACAGTCCTGAACTACCTTCTAGAGATAAAGCAGTAAACAAAGCAAGTCCCTGTCCTCACAGAGGTTATGTTGTGCAGACCATAGAGAGGCAGTGTAGAATGAGTCTCTCAGCTGATAAGGGCCACAAGATAACAAAAGCCTGGGAGACATGACATTTGAACAGAGGAATGCAGTGGGGGAGGGTTGCGCTTACTGACTTCTGTGCAAGAAGATTACATAGAGAACAACAACTGCAAAGGCCTCCTGGGCAGGCAAGTGTGGAAAAGCAGGTGTAATCACAGAACGAGCAATGGCTGAGCGATGAGGTCAGGGTGCAGGTGGAGGAAAGGTGTTTGTGATGTTCATGGGGACTCACCCCAGGATATTTTGAGGACCAAACCCATGGTGTGAGCTGCAGTTTTCATTTCCATCTGGGTCAGGTTGCAGAAACACTTTGCCCTTTACACCAGTCCTGTCCTAGGACCGGGTCTCACCTGAGTCTGTGACTCTCAGCGCTGGGCTGGGCTTGTGCGAGACGGGGAGGTGTGGAGGGCAGGCAGTGATGTATAAGTGGACTGCTCTGCTGGCTCCAACTCATGTCCTGAGTGGACTGCCCAGGACACAGCCTCCTCCCAGCCTCCTCTTGGCCTCTTCCGTACTGGAACAGCATGTTGCTGATCCTTCTGTTCCCGTTCTTCCTGCTGGCGGGCGTGCTCCTGGCCATGGTCTCGGTGTGGGTTTTCTGCACTGAGTTCCTCACCGTGGACATCCCTGCGGGCATCAACGGCAAAACAAGATTACGGCTCCTACATTGCATCTTTAAGCTGCAAATGATGTGGGTGAGTTTTGCGTTCTCTTTGTGCCTCCTTGGGAGGCGTAAGGTGGGAGGTGGGAAAAAACATCCCAGCACCTTCATCGAATGAACACAAATATCATGTGGTCGGTGGAGGAGCAGACAGTATATTCTCAAACCTGAACAATCCCCACAAGGGGATTTAATGCCCATCCTCTTGCTGGTGGTGTCATGTGGGACTGAGCTGTTAGCCTCAAGAGTTGGACCCTGACCCTGCTTGCCATCCGATGTGTGCCATTTCAGAACACACGTATAAACAGTGATGCCTGAGAGTATGTGGCTGGGGCGGGGTAGGACAGAAATTGAATACAGGAAATCTGGTTAATGAAATGGTTGCCAGCACCTGTGCTCTCAGATACCCCGATGGAGGAGAGCCGGGGCTCAGCTTTCACAGGATGCGAGGTTCCACCTAGGGTCTCCCTGGCCTCGATGTTCAGCCTGCACAGTCCAGCTTCCCAAATGCAGTCCCTGAGTTTCTTCTACTGAAAAATAGGGAGTGATAGCAGCCTGGCTTCAGGGCACTGCGCCCCAGGGGTGTTCCCTGGTGCAGAGCCATTGCTCCTGAAATTCCCTCTTGTGGCTGATTGATTTGTATCCCTCACAAAAGTGTCTTTGCAACTACCGTGTGTCCTCGGGCGGACACCACTCTGGGGATGGTGACGGTGAGAAAAGCAGAGTCCAGGCAGACGGTGCTGGGGAGCATGAGGCTCACGTGGTGGGTGGGCACAGCAAGGAGCAAAATGCTGCACAGATTGGCCAGGCTGTTTGGAAAGGGTCTGGGGGTTTGGGGATCCCCCCGCATGCACGCAGGGGGATCCCCATGCCCCCACGAAGACAGGATGCAAGAGAGCTAAGAATTCGCATGGGGTCTAAATGGCCCCATCTCCATAACCTCTACTGGACATTCTTCTCGTGACGAGCGGCAGAGACCACAGGCTGGCGGCGCAGCTTCCAAGGTCACCGAGAGGCACAAAGGCGCGTTAGGAGCGGTTCCGGCCATTTGCACTGTGGTGGAAAAACCGCTCAGGCTCCTGTCCCTTGGAGGGTGACAGTGCAGAGGCGCTGCCTCTTGGAGTCATGGGCCAGTCGGGACCACACGCGTTGTTTCATTACAGCACAATTTACTCTGATATCGAGAGTGAGATACAACTGCCTTCCTTTGTCATCCCACATATTTCATTTTCTGTTCTCCAGCCACGCACGACGAGGTCACCAGGGTCACTAAAGCCCTAAGTGACCTTGGCACAGAAAAGGGGGAGAGGCCGTGGCAAAGAGCCAGCCCTGGGGAGAACCCACACTTTTGCTCACTTTCTTCTGTTATTATGGAAACAAGGGTTCAGGGGGAACTGAGGGAGACAGAACTGAGGCTCCTGCAGCGCCAGCAACACTGAAGGTCCTCGGTGCCCCCGCTGCCCCCTCTGCCCCAATCCTTACCGGGCAAATCCGAGAATCACACTATTTGATCCAAAAATACATCAGTAGGTCTCCCTAAAAGACAAGACCCCTCCCTCTGAAAAGCATGACCACAGCGCAGCAATTCCATCTTGGAGATGGCTTCGTTGTCCCAATCCACTTTGGCCGGGGTGGGGTGGGGGCTCTAGGGGGGTCTCCCTGCAGGAGAGGACCTGTCTGGGCCAAGGAGGAGCAGGGAGATCCTGGGGGTGCTCCAGGTAGGGGCATCTGAAGCTGGGGTTGTAGTCCTGGGGAGAAGGCATCTGGGGGAGGCGTAGGAGAGGGCTGGTGGGGAGAACAGCGTGGCCAGGGTGGGGTGGCCTTGATGCAGTGCCGTGGAGACACCGGGCCCAGCAGGGCTGGGGCCGCCCCTCTCTGGCAGAGACAGGTGAGGCCTCAGACAGCAGCAAGGACCCACTGAAGCCCCCGCCCACCATATTGCCTCTTCTCTCACCCCAGGGCACTGTTTTAGAGAAGCTGAGGATCTGCTCTATGCCCCAGTTTTTCCGTTTCATGCATGATCTGCCCCCGCTCAAGAACGACCCTGAGGTCGTGGTCACGGACCTCCACTTCGGGACCATCCCGGTGAAGTTGTACCAGCCCAAGGCGACCTCCTGCTCCAGCAGGCCGGGCATCGTGTTCTACCACGGAGGCGGGGGCATCATGGGGAGCCTGAGTAAGAGCCAGCCCCAGCCAGCCCCCAGGGCACCTGCCTCAGCGGGTGGAGCCCAGCATGAGGTGCCCCTCTAGCTCCTGGGGCTTTGTCAGCACCTGGGACTTCAAGCAGGTTCCCCATTGAGAGCAAAGACATCAAAGATATGGGATGTGAGCTCTTCTGGAAGTGACGAGCAACACACGTGTGCATGTATATGGAACACGCTGCTCATGCAGGGAATACATCGTGTGCATGGACTATGTGAGTGTCTGTGCGTCTGTCTGGACACACGAAATTCACATAGCACAACACCTACCATTTAAAAGCGTACAGTTGAGGGACACCCCACATTCACCAGGCTGTGACCACCACCTCTACTTAGCTGGAAAGGACTTTTCTATTAAGGAAACATGTATGGCCAAGACAAACTCTGCCACAGAAGACAAAGACAAACTGCCCCAGAAAGACAAAGGAGCCAAAATTTTTAAGAAAATCAATGTGAGCAAAGCTGGAAATGGGGACAACTTTGTTATCGTCACTTCTCCCCTGTGGATTAGGAGGACACCCCTTTAGAAACCACACTGACTTCCACGGGGCCGTGAGCGTGTCCACCGCAGCAGCCTCTCAGACGAAGGGGTTAAGTCAGTGGTGGGGCTGGTTTTGCCAATGAAGGGATGATGTCGTGCCAATGCTGGTTAATATTATTGGGGCCGGTCCCAAGGCCGCCCAGAAAGTGCCTTATGTCAGCAAAAGCCCATCAGGCCTGTTACTCATATCCCCACTGCGCAGATGAGGAAATCACGCCCTGGGCAGCGAAGGGACTGGCCTGGCAGGACGTCAGCTCCAGCTGAGAAGGCAGAGCTGGGATTTGAACTTGATCCTGAGCTTAGAGCTCCCTCCTTGAACCTCTGAGCCCAGCAGCCCAGCGCCCCTCCGCTATTCTGCACGAGTGGTGGGCTCCGGGGTGCATTTTCAAGGAGGTGGACAGCGCCCCAGGGGAACACAGCAGGAGTGGAGGAGGGTGGGGGCGGCTGGGGGACCCGCGCAAAATCTCTGGACTCCTGAGCCCTAGGACCCCACAGTGGAGCTGCTGTGGCTGGGAGGGGCTGCCCTCAGCCTCCCCAGTGAATGTGAAAACTCTTCCACTTTCTAGGGACCCACCACGGCATCTGCCGTCAGCTGTGCAAGGAGAGCGACTCCGTGGTTCTGTCGGTCGGGTGAGTGCGGGGACCCAACTGAGACCTGGATGTGGGTGGGAAGTAGGCGTGGAGGGCAGGTGGGGTGTTGGAGGGTCCCCTTGAGGAGGGGAGGCTGTGAGGAGCAGCTGGGGGACAGCACGGGAGGCAGGGGACAGGGGCAGAGGGGAATGGTCCTCCCTGCCAGGTGAGTGTGAACAAAGGGGTTTTGTGCATGGCGGTGTGGGGGGATTCCTTGGCAAGCTTCTTTGGGAAGCAGAGATGGTGCTGTGCTTCAACCAGAGCTCTTTGGGGGGACAGCCCTGTACATTCTGGACACTAGCACCTCCAACACGGCACGCTGTGGTGTGGTTCACCAGGGCACCCCGAGAACCCAGCCGCGCCCTTTCTCAGTCCTGTACCTGCCGAGGAAGCCAGAAAATTCAAAAGCTGCTTTGTCCTCACTGCCCTGGGGTGTCTCCCAAAAAACTGGAGCCTCAAACACAGGGTGGAGGTGGGGCGGAGAGAGACGGGGCAACGCTGCCCTGGGGCCGGACCCCTCATCACATGGAGGGGGGACAAGGAGGGCCCATCTGCCCATTGGCGTTTCCTGCACTTCTGCTTAAGGGCACCAGCTGAGGGAACTCTTTCCAGCATCTTGCAGGGCCCACTGGCCAGCTTCCTCCTGGCACTGCTGGCTGAGTAGAGGAAGGAACACAGATGCCGACTGAGGGAGAAAGACCTGGAAAAAGGCTTCACTTTATCACTTATGGCTCCAAAACTGCTTCTGCAGGGAACAGTGATCTTGACCCCATGGGTGGCCCCCACACGCCCTACGGCCTGGCTGTGCTGAGCCACTGGCTCCTCAGGAGAACATACCAGCGAGTCTGTGACAGTCATTGTTTGATTCCAAGGCAGACAGGGTGTGGGCTTGAGAGCACTGCTGTCCTGCCTGGACCCAGGGGAGCCCAGAATCTGGACCGTGGGGATGGGTGAGAGCTTGTGTCTGGTGGAAAGATTGTGGGTCCCATGGAGAATTTCCTTGTGCATATTGTGGGTGTGGCCAGCATTGAGAGTGATGAGATGTCTCCCCAAACTGTATTTCTGGATTCTCTTGGATTTGGTAAGGTCTGGCCATGCCAGGCTGGCATATCTGCTGTCGGCAACCTGCTCTCAGGTCATGCTCAGCACAGCTGTGGGTGCCCTGGTCCACCGTGGCTGGCCTGGGGTAGGCAGGCGTGTCATCTGCTGGCCCCAGTGGCACTGACGCCTTTAGGATTCTCCTAAGGAGCTTGTGGGTGTGGCAGGACAGGTTAGAATCACACCAGGCAAGCTCGAGTTTCTCATGGAACATTCAGGAAAATGGGGGAATCAGGAGACAAGGTCAGGGATTTGGGCAGAGAGGCCAGGCTGGGGATGGGCAGGTTGTTGGCCCTCGGTACCGCCAGGCTCCGAGTTCCGTGGCAACAGCAGCTCCCAGGTACTGAGCCCGCGCCCCACGTCTGGGGTGTGCCTGCCGCCTCATTTAGCCTCACACCTTAACCTCAGCTGGTGAGGCTTCAAAAGGGGAAGTTGAGAGTGTGGGGTTGGGGAGGGGGATCTAGGTGAAGGGGTGCTAAACACAGGTGTTGGGGCTCCGCTGCGGCGACGAGTTAAACGGTCTTCCTTGATGTTTCTTAGGTACCGCATGGTGCCACAGTGCAGGTTTCCAGTTCTGGTAAGAGACTCCATCTGCGCCACCATCCACTTCCTGAGGTCCCTGAAGCTGTACGGGGTGGATCCAGCCCGCGTCGTGGTCTATGGTGACAGCATGGGAGGGCAGTTGGCATCTACCGTCTGCCAAAACCTCCTGTGCTATCCAGACCTCCCCAAGATCCGTGCCCAGGTCCTTGTCTACCCCACCCTCCAAGGTCTTGACTTCCAGAGCCCGTCCTATCAGCAGAACAAGAATGGCCCATTGGTCAGTCTGGACTTCTTCTTCTACTGTTGGTGCAGCTGCCTGAGCATCAACCCCGCGTGGAAAAGCGTCGTCCTGCAAAACGCCCACATGCCCCCGGAGGTCTGGGCAAAGTATCAGAAGTGGCTGGGGGCAGAGAACATCCCTGAGAAGTTTAAGACCAGAGGCTACCAGTCCCAGACCCCCGGGCCCCTGAACGAGGACGCCTTCCAGGAGTGCCTCCTGGCCCTGGACGTCACGACCTCGCCCCTGCTCGCGGAGGACGACGTGGTGTCGCGGCTCCCAGAAGCCTGCATCGTCAGCTGCGAGCACGACCTTTTCCGGGACCACGCGCTGCTCTACAAGAAGAGGCTGGAGGACCAGGGTGTCCGGGTGACCTGGCACCACGTGGAGGACGGCTTCCATGGGGTGCTCTCCTGCCTCGACATGACATTCTTCTCCTTCCCCTGCTCCAGGAAGATCCTGGACGCCACTGTCCGCTTCATAAATGACTTGTGACCTGCTCCCCGGCCCGCTCACATGACCAGACCAGAGCCAGAACAGGTTCTCCACGGGTGAGGACGTCCTCTCTGGTGCGGACATTCATGTCGTTGAGCGGGCTCAGGAGGGAGTCAAGGTCACCATCTCCTCTTGCTCCAGAGTTAGAACCACAGCTGCATGTTTCTGACATCTGAAGGAAGAACAACAGGATAGACAGTCATGGGGTGGGGGTGTTAAGGGTGTGGTGGGACTTTCTGCCTTATTCATGTTGGACAAATCTCAGTGATAATCTTCAGTGGCCACAAGAGTGGATGAGCTGGAAGAGCTCCAGGGACCCCGGAATGCATTCTGGCTGCTCAGGCTGCTCCAGGCCGTGGACAGCAATCCTGGGCCTGGACCTGTGAATAGCCAACCTCAGGGGCCTTCTCCAATCTGGCTCAGAGGCTGGGCACTGCTGTCCAGACTGCAGGTGGGTGTGGGGAAACTGGTGTTGCTCTCCTCCTGCTGGCACCTCCCCTGATTTTCCCCAGCCTTGGAGCTGAGTCATGACTGGATGGGCTGGAGCCTTAGGACAGGAGGGACAGGACCTCCATGGTGACACTTGGTGACAGATGATGACAGCATGGAGCCACCCGGGGGCTGATTCCAGAGCTCTGGCCTCAGCTGCCTTCTACAAGCAACATACGGAGAGTCAGCGGACAGGATGAGGAGGGAAACTGACTCAAGACAGTGACCCACAAGGCTGAGTCTGACCTAACCCAACCATATCCAGGTTCATGGTGGGAAATGAAGGGATGGATATGGAGAATGGTTTCTGTGTCGACACCGAACCAACTCAAAATAGCCCCAATCAGAGAGAGAATGTGTGTTTGGGGACCACCAATGAGGCTGCTCCAGTCGCAGGGGTGCCCCCAGCACCCATGAGGCATCATCTTCTGCCACTGAGGGAACCTCTGGTAGGTGCTCCCTTCCCCGGCTTTGTAAAGGAAGAGACTCTTTCGCTGGACAATAGTCAGTTAACAAAAATATCGATCAGATGGCTGAGCCAAAGAATGAACGAGCAGCATCTTCCCCTACAATGCGCTCTCGTCTGTCCACTGAGATAATTTCTTTAGTGTCTTAGTGGAATTAGGCCTAGAATTCCTTATCCAAAGTTCGAGGACCCAGGCAGCTGGGAGATCTGAGAGTTTTACACAACTTGTTGGAGAATGACTTGAGCTCCTTGGGTGTAAACTGGGATAAGGATACTTATTGCCCTTATTTACTGTACGTCTGCCAGATCTGGGAGAATAAATGGGTACTGTTTCCAGCCTGGAGTTTCTAGTGACTGGTTTCAGCAGTAAGCCTGAGAGTGCACCATTGAGAAGCAGAGTAGGAGGCGAGGTGGTGGAGCTGAAAAGGGTCCTGTGACATTGTCTCCTCACCTTTACCTCCCTACTCTGGCCCTGGGGTGCTGACCTATATGGATCCCTTTGCCCTCTGCTTTCCTGAGGGTGTGGGTGGTGGCGGACATCTGGGGTGAAAGTTTAGGGAGGAAACAGAGTGACCATCAGTGGGATGGCCGTGGGCAAGCTTGTGCCTCCGCTGCTGGCTTGGCTCCTCTTGGGAGCCCTGTTCATGCAGCCTGGGGTCCACTGTTCCCCATGGCCCTGGAGTGGGACAGAGGCTCCTGTCACCAGCTACACTAGCCCCCAGCATCTTGACACTGCGCCTGGCTGAGCTCTCTGCAAATTTATCCAAATTTGAGTTGTCTTAGTGCATTTGAGTTGCTGTTACAAAAATACCATGGAAAAGGTGGCTTATAGTGGAAATGAATTTCTTCCCTTCTTGGAGGCTGGGAAGTCCAAGATCAAAGTGCTGGCAGATTCTGTGTCTGGTGAGGGCCAGTGTCCTGGTCCCTGGTGGCCATCTTTTTGCTATGTCCACACATGGTGCCCTGGGGAGTCACTGGGCACTAACCACATGGACTTGGACCCACCCCCATGCCCTAATCACCTGCCAAAGAAACTATCTCCAAGTGCCATCCTGTTGGGGATCAGGTTTTAATAGGAATATTGTGGTTCACAATCACTCAGCCCAGAGCATTATCATGGTATCTACTTCCTGTCGGGAAACTGAGGGACACACTTCGTTCTGATGAAGCTGATGATCAGAGAACATAAGCACCTCATCCCAGACAACACTAACACTCACACGCCTCTCTCTGGGGTACCTGTCCACCCTCCGCAAGAAAGCCCCTTCCCCGCAGGCAGGCAGAGTCCACAGAGGTTCTGAGCATGCCCATTTCCTTCTCCCAAGATCTCCATTTGGAAAAGCTGCTTCTCTTCCCATGGGAGGAATGGGTGTGGAAGTAGAGAGAGAGAGAAGAGTGTTACACACCTACGGGAGAGGGGCACCCCAATTCCAAGGGGTACAAGCACCCTAGTTACTGCCTGGCTTTTAGCATTGTGCAGTAGAATTCAAAGCAAAAAGCATCATGACATAAGGTAATGTGGTAAAGAGAAGTTGCTGCTACAGATTGAATAAGATCCCCTTCCCGGTTCACGAGTTGATCCCATCCCCAATATCTCAGAGTGTGACCTTATTTGGAAATAGTGTTGTGCAGATGTCATTAGTTAAAATGCAGTCATTAGCGTGAACCCTAATCCCACGTGACTAGCGTCCCCGTGAATAGGGAAATCTGGACACGGACACACATGGAGGACCATGTGAGGACACATGTCTGCTTCAGTCATCTGCCCCAATACCAGAGAGGGGGAGGGAATGGATTCTCCCTCACAGCCCTGGAGGAACCAGCCCTGTCCTCACCACAATACTGGACATCCAGCTTCCAGAACCCGGAGACAATACATAGTTGCTTAGGAGGTCACCCAACTGTTGCCATTGTGTTAAGGCTGCCCCAGCAAACTGGTAAAGACAACTTTCACAACAAGTGTGAAACTGTGCCACTGAGCATTGCAACAAAATCTGCAAGAGGAAGATGCTAGAAATTTCTTAATTAACACAAAGGAACCTTGGGCAGCCAAGAGGAACATAGAGCAGGGATACCTGGCATGGAGTGGTGGACCTGGCCTGGGCAGGGATGCCTGGGTGGCCAGGCTCCAGGACCTGAATTCGAGCTCACACTAGCATGATTTCCTGTGTCAGATGCTGGCACTCAGCACCATCCTCGCCCTCCTGAGCTCTTGCCTGTGTCTAGGGCCCAGGCGCTGGAAACTGGCATTTCCCAGACTCTTGCTGGCAATGTTCCTGTTACGACTCTCCTGAGGAAAACCTTCCTGTAAGATCTGGAAGGCAGGTCTTCAAGGTGGGAAGGTTGACAGCAGCTCCTGTTGATGGAAATCAAGCCCCTCCCCTGACCTTTGCTTCCTTGACCCAGCCAAGTAGCTCAAGTCTCCATTTCCCTATAGTCAATCTCCTCCTACTTAGTGGAAATAGATTGTATAGCTGGAAAGTTCTCAGGAATCAGCCAACAGTCACATTTTTACCTTCGGCGACTGAAAGGGCTGCATTTCCGAGGTTCTCTGGCATGTCAGGGAAGCCGCGGGGATGTGTTCTGGCTCTGAAATTCTCTGGCAGGCACGACGTTCTCTTACTCAGCTTCCCTATCCTGGTGAATACAGAGAGTGCAGAGGGGGTCAGTGAAGCCTGGGGGAAGGTGAGGTGAGGTGGAGGAACATGGACCCCACAATCTCTGGTGTTGGGGCCTTCACCATATGCCCCTGTATCCATGAATTGAGGGGGAAATAGCCTCTATGGACACTTGTTACAGCATTGGCACTACTAACCGTAGTTGATGAGTCCAGGAAATTGGAAATGGTCTTGTATTTATCCGTATGAGTCCCTGATTCCCCTTCTGCTTAAGAAAAAAAGATTTCATGGAGAATAAGGCAGAAAATACTGACCTGCACTGCTGTGTTTATTCCACAACCCACATCTGTATGTTTTGGTCATGCAAAAGGTATAATGCTTAGAAACATCAATGGTGATTGATGTTCCAATCCCTCTCATAGTTACTGATGTATTTTTCACTATTTTGGGGTGAATTAGGATATTTACATTTTGACAGAGACATCTTCCTCTTTCAAAATCATTGTGTTAAGTCGCAGGCACTGTGTCATAAAAGGATCTCTCAAGCCTGACAGTAGATTTTACTGCATCATGATAAACATGTGTGCAGAAAACAATATAAACCAAAAGGCCAACAACTAGAAAAAGTATCTTTACAAATATTTTTAAGTCAATGCAAAAAGATAAGCAGAAATAGAAAAGTAGGTAAAAGATATGAACCCACAAAATAAAATCACGAGTCCACAGAAAACTCAAATTACCAAAAAATATAAAATAGCACTCCAGGTCACTGGATTCAAATAAATGCAAAGTGAAATAACACTGAGATGCAATTTTAAATGGACAAAAAATCTGGCTCATGTGAAATATAATGATAAGATTCACTGATGGTGATAACACTGACCCATCATTTTGGGGTCTATTTTGGGGAAGAGTGTACATTGAAGCAATTTTGCTGGAGTAACTTGTTAGGATGTATCAAAAGTCTGAAAATATTTTTATCTTTGATGCATCAGTTCTCCATTTAGACGTTTATTCCTGGGAAGAATTGAAGTTATGAAAGATTTAGGAAAAATCAGAGATGCATTGTCTAACCATAGTTCACAGTCCAGAAAAATAACAGAATTGTGAAAATCCTAAAATCAATGAAAATTCTGTGACTGAAATATATTTATTGACACGGCAGGTTACAAAGGACTTCTTTCATATGTCCCTTTTAAACAGGCATACACACAGAAACACACATGCACCTACACACCCTGGATTGCTGCAAGTAAGTCCTCCCATAAAAACAAGTTAATAGGAAGGAAAAGCGGAAGGTTCCTGTGAAAACCAGGACATAGAAGATAAACAGGCGACTCTGGCAAACTGCTCAAAGAGGAAAGTTGCCATAAAAGAGGACGAAAAGAGAGGAAAGCTCAGAACCCTGCTACCCTCCCCCACTCACA